CTGAACCGGTTACCAAGTCAGGTCTCCAGCTGATGATCAGGAACCACTGATGGAGCAAATTACAAGTCAGTCGTCCTCCAAACCACTGAGAGCAGCTTCCAGAGGAAATCTGAGTTTGTTCTGACGGTCAGACTCTGTCAGGATGACCACAGTCTTCTGGCTGAGTTCCTGACATGAAGGAGGCAGAAATAATATAAAGATCATTAATTAACTGTCCTGCAGTAAATACTGACTTTGTGAAGGTTTTGGTGTTAAAGTCATTTAGTTCAAACATCTTGACATCTTGATTCAGCTCTTATTTTGTAGGACAGGAAGTGAGATCTTACCTTTGTAAAGCTTTGTGTGCATCAAGCTTCATCATTTACTGAAATCATCCTCATGTGGTTCACCTGGAAAATAGATTTAAAAATGACTCATCTTCACAATCAGGTTGTTCTTTGTGATAATGTTCCCATTTCTGCAGCGTCTCTGTTGGAGGATTCAGAACTTGAACTAAATGACCCAAATCAATCTGACAGAGAAAAGACTCTATATTTTCTAGTTGATAGTTCAGGAACTGAAATCACCACAAAATGAGAAAATGATCAACTTTCAGAATCTGAGCTGTAATGGATGTTGTAAAACTCTGAATTAGACGGATTGAAATAAAACGTTTACATCTGTCATACTTAGCAATGAGCTGCAGTTAAAATACAACCAGCAAGAAAAACATCAATTGATTAATTAACAAAAACTGGAGACATAAAATATCTCAGTGATGGTGATGATGATGGTTGTTGTTGCGAAACATCCCACCTCCCTCCCCCCGTTCTCTCTCTACTCCCCCTTTTGAGAGGAGGGAGATATGCTACCAGCTCTCCGTCTAACCGGTGAATTGGGTTTCCTAAATCTGCTGGGATTTACCCTGTCCAGAACTGAAGTAAATTTTGTTTAAGCTGGTGCAGAGAAAGACTCGCCTGGTTTCTGACAACTTCCATCCAGATGTCCTTCTTCTCCCTGTGAATTAGCCGGACTGAACAGCCTGCAGACAACTAGCTCCACAGAGCACACCTGTCAACGGTCGCTCTTTCTCTTTATTACAACTTGCACTTGTTACTGAACCAGGTTGGTTTTAGTGACTTGGGAAAGTCCCAAGGATGTTGTTTTACATATAGTTTTGGGCTAAAAGCAAACTATAAAACATTTTCCACTTTTTCCTCCCCAGAATCAAACTTCATAGCTATTTTATTACCATCAAATAACTTTAAGGCGACTCATTAATTGAATGTCCACAACATCTT